CATCAAAAGTAGTTTGGGTCGTAGGTCCAGTAAGGTAACATATTTCGTTAAATTCATGAGGGGGAAAAAGAAACAGATCAGAACATCCCAGACCCCGGATGCTGTCTAAAAAACAGATGTCTTAACAGGCGCTCTAAAAAATAGAGTGTTTGCATCTATGAGGACGCACGTGTTATGGCCACGCGCACGTGATGTAGACAAACAGGTGGCCAACGCAAATGCGCGCCAATGTGTCGCGGGCCAATTATAGCAGAGCGATCGCCTGGTTGAGGCACAGACAACTTCGCGTTGCAGGGGCAGCCACTCTTGACGCAAGGAGCGACAGCCATGCACGCACGTGCGCCGCAGACGCAGCGTGGAGGGCTTGCGACCGAGCTCACGGCTGATAACCCTACAGTAACGGCTGAGAACCGGACACGCGACAGAGAAAATGACAACAGCTTTCCTTTTTGGGCCTGCTTGCAGCTCACGTAACGGCCGTCTACCCAATCCTTATCAGAAAAAAATCACAATCACATCTCACGTTTTTCAGGGCATGTTCATCCCAGGTGACGGCTGGTGACCCAGTCTCTCTTGTCAGGTAACAACTGATAACCCAACATGCGACAGACAAATGTCACACGCGCAAAGATTTTGAAAAGGCGTAATTAAAACTACAACTCGCGTTATTTTGAGTGATGCTGAATTTAAAAGTTGAAAGGGCGTAAGTAAAACTACAACTCGTTTTTTGAGTGATGCTGAATTTAAAACACGAAAGGCTTGCAACATAACTTACGTTTCTGAGTGATGCTGAATTAAAAACATGAACTTCTTGCAACAAAAAACAGTTGCGCAAAGGCTGTGTTTTTCTTCGAAGAACGCAGTTGCTGTTTGCGCAAGGTAGTTTTAGCACTGACCCCAAAAAGAAACATGTCTCCAAATCAGATTCGAAGAACGCAGTTGGTGTTCGCGCAATGTTGTTTTAGCACTGACCCCCATAAAGAAACACATCTCCAAATCATACTGTGTGCGTTTTCGATGCTGTTCCATGTTTCGATTTTGGGAGGCTTCGCGTTCGAACATGTTTTCACGGGTTCAGTGAAATGGCCCACGAACTCATGAGCCTTACACGCATGCTGCCAGAAGTTCAGAGTTCAAGGACTTACAATCCGACTGCAGCCGCATGGGTTCCAGGATTCATGAGAATGACCTGTGTGCGCATGGCACGCCTGCAAATGTTCAGGATCCACCAAATGTGCAAACCATGGTGTCCATGGCAAATGTTCGATCCACCAGTTCAACCAAACGTGCAAACCATGGTATCTATGTCAATTTAACAGTAGTCTGCCTGCAGCGCCTTTTGCGCGAATGGCTCGCGGCTCCAAGCGCGAGACAGCCAAGGCTTTTGGCCGCCTGCATGGGAGCGGCAACGTGGAGGAGCTGGCAGAGGCGCTCAAGCCTTGGGTTCAGAGCCTGAATTTTGTGAGCTACACTGCAGACAGGAATCTTCAATGAAAGTTGCAGTTGTTGTGATTCTGGCATGTGCTTTTGATGTGTGCACCCGCATGTTGGAACAGCACCGTTGGCACGCCCAGGAAAATCAAATCAAAGCAGTTGGAGAAGCTGAAGTTATACCTGCCGCACCTGAAGCGCGTCCAGGAGGTGAGCAACACTTGGAATTTTGCAACTGGTGTGATTTGCAAAGCTCTGCTCAAAGTGAACGACGCATTTTGGCTGACATGGCACCCGTTGTCTTGTGTTTGGAAATACCCATGCATCAAACTGTGTTGCTGAGGCCGCCCTCAACGCAAACACAGTCAGCAGCTACAGAGCAAACACCTGATTTGCTCGTTGGTTGCTTTTGCAGCCCAAAAGAAACAAGCGACAAGCGTCTGTTATGCCCTTGCCATCCCTTGCCCTGAGACACCGGACGGCGACTCAGGAAGTGAAGGTGTGCGAGACAGCCAACGCGGAAGCCTGGGCCAGCGGGCGCAGCTTGAGGATTTCAGCGATGTTCAGGCACATGTCTCAAGAAGCGCTCAACTGCAGGAAATGGATCCCCAAGGCCGGTTTAACATGAACCTTCGACTTGAGCGACGTGTTTCACACCCCAATTCGGTTTGGTTTATGTGTTCAAACGCACGCAGTTTTGCCATGTGGAAACGCTTATCAGCCCTTGACCGCGCCAGAAATCTCCCTAATAACCTCGGGTTGCAGTTCTTGCCCTGTAACCCTGCTATAGGCAATGTGGACAGGTTCCCCACGGGCCCTCAAACGGCCAGCGGCATCTTGCGAAGCGGATGAGGCTGCGCCAGAGGACAGCGCTTCGACAACAACAAGCACGCAAGAGTCGGAGGATGAGGAGGGCAGTGATGATGAGGAGCACAGGGAGGAAGGCAGTGATGATGAGGATCAGGAAGGGGGGGAAGAGGAAAAAGGGGTAGAGGAAGAAATGGAGGAAGTGGAAGAGTGCGATGGTGGTGACGTGAAAGGCGACGCACGGAGGAAAAAAAAGAAGGAAGAGCCGAGCCTCGCACCGCAGAAGCAAAAACCCAGGCAAGCCTCCAGCCCCAAGGGCTGGCTGAAGATCAAGAAATCAAAGTCCACAGAAGCCATGGGAAGCAGAAAGAAAACAGCAGCGAAAACAATGCCAAAGAAGTCGTCGCAGCAGATGAAACCAAAGGTGTCAAAGACGCCAAAGGCAAAGGCAAGGGCCAAGGCCAAGGAGGAAGAGTCCTTTCCGCCACCTGCAGCCGCTCCATCAGAGCCCTCGCGTTATTCAACATGCGTTGATCCCCCCAACAAAACCATATCTCTCGACAGAAAAATATTTTTGCTTAAGGTTTGGAGTCGCCTGGGCAACCATTTCTGCTTTGCTCAGGATGCCAAACCATCCAGCAGTGGCTTCTCTGAGGGCAAGGCTATGCAGAGCATCCAGGCGATGATGCCGTCACTGCCTGAGCACGGCTTTGTCACTGACATGATCTTGAGAGCCGAGCCTTGCGCAGGTTGCCAGGTTGAGCTTGAAAGACTGTTGGTCTTCTTTTTCTGCGGCAACATGTCTGAACAACAGGTGTTTCTTTTCCTCCCATGTCTAATCAGGGTTTATGTGAGGACCTTCCGCTCTTGTTCAGGCTTTCGGCCGCAGCCCTTGACATTGACCGCGACACCACCCAAGCCTACTGAATTCGAACATGGTTGGTCGCAAGACCACAAGCTGGCCTGGCGCAAGGAGCTTTTGGGAGGGAGCCGCAAAGGGCCCATCGAGTTCAGCCTGAAGCCGTCCCTGGACCCATCCGGCGACCACTTGGCCCCTCTGGTGTGGAAGTTCAAAGATGGCGCAACTTTCGTTGTGGAACACATCACACAGGCGCCTTTGGCCAATTCACCCAAAAAAGCAACAAGGCCCCTTCAGGGGAAGGGGTGGTTGTGTTTCCCAGGAAAATCAACACGGCGTTCTGCCACAGAACTACTTTCCATGCAAGTTTCCCACCTTTAGCAAAAAATGATGTCAGCCCCCAAGAAGGACATCTAAACAGTTGCTAAGTTCCCTTTCGCCCTGTCTCGCAGGGAGATTGGCGCCAGCTCATGAACGAGGCGCCGAAAGCCAAGGCCAAGGCCAAGGCGAAAGCAGCTGGGAGCCCGCGCCTAGCTGGCGATTCTGAGGCCAAGCCTGCGCAGGAGTCCACGCTGTTGGACGAGGGCTACTTTGAGGGTGTGGGTGCAGCTGGAGCTGCAACTTCTGCATGGAGGGTTGTGTTGAAACCTCAAAATGGCCGAGCTGACATTGCGGTCTGTTTGAACAAGAAGGGTTCACACAAGTGGCTCCAAAAGTGCCAAGTTGTGGTCGGGGCCCATGTTGAGTCGGAACATGCAATGGGCATCTTGAAGATCATCGCGGCCGAAGCTTCAACGGGTTCATTGGGGGAGGACGGCGTCAAGGCCCGCAAGGCACAGCTTGTGAGTCTTTGCATCAGTGGCAGCCTGCTACCTTATTTGCAGAAGGATGCCAAGACGGATTATGGGGTTGCCACGGACCCAGCTTTCATTCAGTATTTGGAGCAATGTGCGACAAAGCCACCTAAAGGGGAACATGGTCAGCCAACTGGGGGGAAGGTGCCAGATCCGCCAGCTAAGGAAAGGTTTTGCAGGCACCAGACCCGCCAGCTGAGGGAAAGGTTTTGCAGGCGCCAGATCCGCCAGCTGAGGGAAAGGTGCCACATCCGCCTGATCCGCCCTTCACTTCCAAAACTCCCGAGGAGCTTGAGACTCAGCCTAGCACGCCTCCTTTGCTTGGCGGATATCCGCAAGATGAGAGCTTGGACACCAACACCCAGCTGGACAATATTGATACCTTCCTCACGTTTTCTTCGCTAACGTCCCAAGCACGAACGAAAATTACATCTCAGGTGTACGTGCGAACAAACCCCTGGAGATACAGATCGACCTCAGGATGGCCATTCGCGCAGGGCTTT